TCAAATATTTTTATATATAGTATTTTCTATGCATAAAATTTTTCAACTTTGTTTTTTTATTTTTTTTTAAAATTTATGGTGTACTGGGAAGAGAAAAAAGTGAGGAGGAAGGAAGAGAGTAGAGTATAGAGGGGAGAGGGGGAGCGATCACCCGCCCATTAGCACCCCCTCACAAATGAGCAGTTCTCTGTGTCCTAGTGACCGTGCACAGCTCATGGTTTGCATCGATCAAAATGAGCTGTGGTATATTATCTCTCGTAGCTAGCTAACTAGCTATAGCTACATATATCTACAGTCAAACGCCCGGACCACGGGAATAATCCTATGCGCACGCTTCAAAGACTCGTCAACATCGTTGATTATCTTGACGGACTCGCTTTGCCGCCCAGCTTCGTCCTACATTTTGCTATACTAAAGTTGGTTCAAATTTTTGTAAAATAATAAGCCCATGATTTTTTAGCACTTAATTACATGTAATTATTGGTGATGTAGTTTACGAATAAACCCGCCCAAAGTAATGCATTTGTATTGTGCTTCGTGAAAAAATATATACAGTAATTCACACGTGTAAGCACGAATATATAACTACGGAACATCGTTTAATTAATTTCAATATTAGAAATTGTTATATATTCTCTCCGTATTTTTATGCGATGTTTTTTTTAAGAGATTTGCCTTTGATAACTTGTTATAACGTGATATAATGAGAGATGCCGTGTATATATATAAAATTGTACAATGTATTGTGGAAGTAGTTTCATAGGCAAAGCTAACAAAACTCAAATTATTTTTCATATGTCTCGGTCACGATCGATATAGGTTTGAACGTAAACATGCATTAGTCAAAGTTTCTAGAGGATGGTGTGTCATGGATTCTAGGACGTAATATAAAATGAGCGGTGGGAGTATATTATCTCAAGTTCATAGAATTGAAATTATATGTTTGCACCTCCACTATGTAATAATAAATTAATAGTGATCAAATACTTCACCCTTTTCTAAATAATTGTAAGTGTTAACTATTCCTCTTTCAATTCGCGCACTAATTAATTATGTTTAGATAGAATGTAATAATGACTTAATTTATAAGTGGAGTGTAAATTGCATGCTGTAAATGAGCAAAACTTGCCATAGACCAATGGAGAACCTACATGCGCGTGTGACCAATATATTGTCTAGATATGATGGATGGATAATAGCCGTCTAAATCATTGTTATTGCACCGAACCACTGAGAACAAGGCTGCCAAAATATGCACAAGTTGATGGAGCGGTACGTAATAGTCATGGGTGAATGCATGCACATGTGCTCGTGGACTAGAAACTGGGAGCATGAACAGTAGTATGCTTTTTTTCTTTTTCGGAAATCAATAGTAAGGTGGTTGTCTATATATGATCGTTAATTCCTCCTATATACTAGAAAAAAAATACTCGTGCGTTGTAATAGGTAAAAATATTTTTGGATGGCTATACATTTACTAGTTGGTTTTGCACCAAAAGCTCATTCCTTCATTCTTTTTTTAGTCTCAGCCTGCTCCCTTCCTTTGTTTGCATGCCTCTCTTTGACCCAAGTCAGAAGTAGAGCTCTAGGTCTAGCTTGCATAGCCGACTACCGTCTTCAACCTTCGAAAAACAGTCTCATATCTGTACGATGCCAAAACCGATCCTCTCCATCAAATCCAGTTGAAATCTTTCTCATCTCTTTTGATATACCCGATCTCCTCTTTCCTTATTATCAAAATCAGAGTGAATCCACAAAATTCGGGATAAAACAGTGACTTTTAAATCGAGATTAAATTCGGTGAATTGAACTAGAATTGTAAGGGAAAATCATGGGGAAAATGATGAGAAAATAGTGGTGAATGATTTTTTCAATCAATTTGAGGAGGGAACACATGGGGAGGTAGTTTGACGTGGCGGCGGCGCTAGAGTTCGGCTCGGCGATGAAAAAAATATGGAAGATAAAAAAACAAATCTTTACCGCGTGTGAAAAACTGCAGGGTACACTCAGAATATGCCATAGGTGCCGGTTTGTAAGTGTCCATTAATCCGGCACCAATTAGTCAGCACCAATAGCGAAAACCAACATATATGAAAAAAAATAGAACCGGCATCTATAGGTTTGCACGAGCCAAAAAAAAAAGAGCCGGCTCGAATCAAGCCGAACTCACCAACGACGTCACCACGTCTGCCCCACATTAATTTCTCCTGACATTCCCAAATCAAATTGAAATCCCCACATCGACATCACAGATCGACATCCCCAAATCAAATTTAAATCCCCGCATCGACATCACAGATCGAATGAACAGTCAACATCAAAATCATTTAGAAATTCACAAAAACATCTAAAGAAAACTACAATGGAGACTGGGGAGAGGAGGGGAGGGGAGGGCAGGGCTGGCCACTGGGTTTCTCTGCTCCACCTTCTTCCTTGACGTAGGGGGAGGGGAGAGCGCCGCCACCTGCCGCCCGCCTCCTCCCCTCAGGCGCCGCCACTTGCCGCCTGCCGCCTTCCCTCGTGCACCGCAGCCTACCGCCCCCCGCCCCCTCCCCCCCTCCCGCCACATCTGGCAGAGGGGAGGGCGTCGCCGCCGTCTGCCGCCTCCCATCGGGTGCCGCCTCCCCTCCCACCAGATCCAGCGGAGGGGATGCCGGATCCAATGGAAGGGGAGGGCTCTATCGCCGCCCGCCGCTCCCGACAATGAACGGAGAGGAGGACGGACGGAGGGAGGGAGGATTAGATGGAGGAAGGGGAGGACGGCTGGGAGGGGGGCGGCGACAGGGAGGGCGGTAGAGGAGAAGGCGAGGGGGGAGGGGTGCGACAGAGAAGTGAGAAGAGTAGAGGCGAGTGGATAAGCGCTTCTCGTGTGCGCGTGCGAGTGGATATAGGCGGCCGGCTCAGCTCACCCCTTTCGGCTCGATTGGGTATAGGTGCTGGTTGTTTAAAAGAACCGGCACTTATAATACATTAAACTGACATCTATAATATTGGTACCTGTTTTTTATTTTTAAAAAACCAACACCTATAATAAGAACCGACACCTATGCATCTTAAAGGCGCCGGTTCTTATTTTTTTTTCATCATGTGGAGGTGGGAAAAAACTTATAGGTGTCGGTTTTAAATGAACTGGCACCTATAAAGCTAATCTCCATGAGGGTTTTTTACTAGTGGTAAAAAAATAGCGAAAAAGCCGGATGGAAAAAAAACCGGAAAAAAGGCAAGGGAATAAAAAAGAAAGTAAAAGAAACAACGGATGGAAAAAACTGAAAAAAACTAAGAAAAAAGGCGCGCGGGAAAAAGACAAAACGAAAAAAAGGTCTAACTATATTTATACCGTCATATTTTTTATCAAAAAAATAGTCAGCGTGTATTTATATTGTAAGTCTCAAAATTACATATGTAAGTCCCAAAATTACATGTGTAATTTTAGTGTATTTATAATGTGAGTTCTAAAGTTACGTATGTATTTACAAGGAACAATATAGCGTCTCCTTTTCTATGATTACCTTATTTTGATGTAATAATTTGGTGTTAATCATATTCTTATGAACTAGCGTGTGAACACACATTATGGTAGAGACACGGAAGTACTCCGGCATGAATCTAATAGGAGATCCCAGGGATACAAATCTGACTGTAATCTAACAAGATTTATGGCGATATAATTATAGCAAAACCGAAAAAAAAACGGAGAGGAAAAAAGGAAAAAAGGGCAAAAAAAAAAGAAGAAGAAAAAAGCAAAGCAAAAGAACATGGGTCGATAACTAGTGGCCAACTAGATCAGCGCGTGGGCATGATCAAAATTCAAAAGCAATGTGTACATGTAAATAAACTAGGAAATTTTGAATAAGATTTCCAGCCAACCTAGTGTGTGGAATGCATATGGTCATATTTTCCGTATGGGCCGGGGGAGTCTTCTATTTTGGATCAATGCGTGCAGAATTGCGAACGAATATATTCCGGATGAAACTATGCATGTTGCGCCGATGAAATGCCAAAAACCAGGGCAGCTACATCTGCATCCATGCAGCAGCAGCCAAAAACCAAATTTAGTGAACAATTCAACAAGACAATACCACTGCCTCTGCATGCATGGAGGATGGATCAGCACCTCTATCCTTCTATCTCTTCCCCAAACAAATTTAGCAAAACTTTGAACAAGACAATACCACTGCCTCTGCATGAATGGAGGATGGAGCAGCACCTCTCTCCTCTCCTAAATTACTTATCTGATTTACGATCCGACTTAACCACTGTATTCATTGAAATTGAATCTTTAAATTAAAATATTACATGATTATATTTATCACAAAAATATAAATGATTATATCCAAAATTGAAATATTTATGATACATAAAATATCTAGTTATAATTGTTGAAACATCATAAATATATGTTAAAATATAAAAGATAGCCTGTGCAACATTTAACAATAAACTAAGTAACGAAACGTCGGAAAAATATCCAAATAATACTGTGCATGGGCACATTATAAGAAAAACTTCATTTGCAAAAACAAAAAAAAAGAATATGCAATATAGTCGAATTTCAGTTAGAATCACGAGAGATCTTTCGAAAAAGCTTAATTACCATGAATACAATGATACAGCCGGCTTAATTATATATCAGCTACATCATTTAGACTAAAAAAGTCATTTGAAGTGTGTTAAGTGGAGCTTCTCTTAGCTAGCTACTTGCACTCCTATACTACCATGAAGACAGAAGAGAGGGAAATCTCGATGGGAGAGAGAGGAGATGGGTAGAAATTAGTGGGTGGTGTGTTAGTTAGCTGAGAGCGGGGGTATGTCTGATTTTTTTTTTCTTGACGAGATTGGGCGCATGACAGTGAGCATTTTCCATCATATATTCCTCACAGAATAGACACCCAGTCACAGCTCATAGTATTTGCATCCCCACAGGTCACGGCATTATCATTTAAGAAAATGGCAAGTGCCATTGGCCTTCCTAGCTCTCTGCCGGCTATAAAACGGTGCCTTGGGGGAGCATGCAATACCACAGCAAATCACTCCACTCCTCCACTCATACACCACCACACTGCACACACACCCAACAAAGATGAAGCTTACCATGAAGCTTTCCATCGCCCTGGCCTGCTTCCTCTTCTTCCTCGCGGCGGCGACCACCGCCTCCGCGCAGTGCACGTTCGAGATCCTCGTCAAGACCGACGGCCGGAGGAACGCCGGCACCGACGCCCGCGTCTCGCTGCAGGTGCGCGCCGCCAGCGGGCCGACGCTGACGATCACCAACCTGGAGTCGTGGGGCCAGATGGCCGCCGGCCACGACTACTTCGAGAAGGGGAACCTCGACCGGTTCAGGGGCGCCGGCGCCTGCATGCCGTCGGAGCCCTGCAACATGGTGCTCACCTCCGACGGGTCCGGCAACAAGCCCGGGTGGTACGTGAGCTACGTGATGGTGACGCAGCTCGGGCAGGGGAGCCTCCCGTCGATGACGCACCGGTGGGCGGTGGATCAGTGGCTGGCCATTGACGAGGCACCGCACATGCTCACCGCCGAGCGGAGGGGCTGCGGCATTGGCGCAGCGGCGCCATGATCATCGAGGTAGCTGCCTATAGCTCCATCGACCAGTGTTGTCTCTGCGTGCATCAGCATGCTAGTAACTTAAATTAATAATAAGTTCCAGGTCTAAGCCCTGTACTATGTGTGGGGCACAGTGTCTGCTTTGCCAATGTAACGTGATCATAATAAGTCAATTCAATTCAGAGAGTGAATTGCAGTTTGTGCCATCTTTCGTTAACAAAGGTTTATAGTTACTGAGTTGCTCGCTCCCAGCAAGATGCCGAAATATTATTTTTAAGTGTGTATGATGCTTTCACGAAAACAAGAGGATACCATGTGCAATAGTGCTACGCGTTGGAATTGGTAGCTAAGAAGCATTTATGTCAGTTTGGATGGTATAGTACTTATAAAATTTTGTGCTAGAATAACGTACCCGACCCTTTCAGAAGATAAAGAAGTAACACCAGTGGATAAAAAAAAACCGTCACATGCCCTGTTCCCTATAAATAAGGAGATCCAATTTTTTTTTTTTTGAGATCCCCTCTTCTTCCTCCTCAAGCCCCTATCACAATTGACAATAGCAGACCTCATACTACACCAAGACTCATATCGGATCTATTCATCCTATTTAAAAAATATACCTAATTATCTTTTATTTTTGTTGTATATCCAAAGTGCGCTACCGTGGAGCGTAGAGTTGTATTTTCTTTGTTTTAAAATAAATCAACTTCTAGAGTTTAAATTTGTCCTAAAAACCAATTTCTAACTTCTTACCTACCATTAATATGCAAATCGAGAAATTTTAATCATTCACTACCCTTACCTATCTATCCACCAATATAACTTATCTATTAATTAGAGATATTTTGGTCTATTGTTATTATTCTACCGGAAGAGAATAGCTACTGGAGAAGGGATAAGAACGATACCGGGCACCAGCTATTCTCCAAAATGTCCCCTAACTAATGATTATGTTGCTCTCATCTCTCTTTTAAAAATTCACTACTAAAATTTATATGGTTTCCTTAGTCACCCCACTCGATCTTGTCCTATTTTCGGGTTCCAGGAATTTCCACCAATACCAAATGCAAGCAACATCTCAATAATATATGTACGTTATTCAACAACTAAAAAGACCAAAGCTTTCGATAAAGCTCGTTGAGCAAATAGCCTATTTATTAGATAAAATATTACCATTACATATGTTATACAGTACTCTCTCCATCCAAAAAAACGAATCATATATCCAGATTCTTCGTAGTACTAAGATGTGTCACATTTAGTACTATGTTGATTTTTTATAGGACAGAGAGAGTATATACACGATGGCCCATTACGCGGCAAAGCAGCGTCTCTTTTATAGTTAGTTGAGAGTGAATATTATGAACGAAAATTTACGCCATCGAACCTTCGCGCCGTGAGCCTCTTCTACCAAAAATAAATAAAAATTAAACGGAGGAAAACGTTCCCCTCTTTCTCACTGGGGCTCTCGGCGGAGTCTCGGAATCGGCGCCGTTCGTCGGAATCCGATTCCGATTTCCAAGTTTCCCCACGCAATGCCCATATAGCCCCACCAGCCGCCTGCCTCGGTACGTATCTCTCTCGAGTCTCGACCCACCGCGTATTCCAATCCATCCAACCGTCGCCTTCTGGGTTGCCTGCTTGGTTTTCCAGCCAGCGCCATGGATTCACGCTCCTCCGTCAAACGGTGAGTCCTCCATGCGCCTCTGGTTCGAGGAATCTAGTTTTTATACTTCATTTTCCGAACGACGAATCTATCTCTGCTGCTTCTCAATCGCATCCACCAGAGCCTCAATCTACTGCTGCTGCTGTGCCTCGCTCACAATGGATTAGATCTTTGAAATGATACATCTTTAAAAGAAACTTTTTTGTTTTATTAATTGACTAGAAAAATGTCCGTGCATTACAACGGGTGAAAAATTTCTAATGATAATATATATTTTTCATGCATAACCATGTCAATGGCAATGTTTGTATGGATCGTTTGTAGCTAAAACAATCAGAAAATTGGAACATCTTCAATATAATAGACCAACCTCGACGATGGCAACCTTACCGATGTTTACTTTATCTAAAATAATTGGATTATTCATGTGACAACATGCATATAATCTAAAATACTCTTTCAATCTCATTCCTGCAACCAATAATAGGACCAATTAAATCTTACCCTGTCTCGCATGACCAAGTCTACACAAAATAGAGTCATTGAGCACTCTTCTCTAAATAACAATTAAAAATATGTTTATTTTTTAATATTATTTTCATATAATATGTTATCAAGAATAGTAGCTATACTTAACAAAAATAGGTTGATAATTGCCTACAGAGATACACAGGGTCTCTAATACATGAGAATAAATGACGAAACAAAAGTCATAGAGGAGATGGAAAAAACCGATGGATCCTATCCGACCCAAGCATCCATCAATTCAGCTTTTTTTTAATGACCGTTTTCTCAGAGCGGATTGTATTTTTATAAATGGTATTTTTTTTGCATGATTTTTTCAAACTATTTTTTATGAAATGGTGTGTTTTTCTGATAGTTTTTCCCCTGCAGGTTTTTTTTTTTGCTTTTTTACGGATGAAGGAAACCCTTTTTTGTTCTCGTTCTTTTTTTTTGTTTATATTAGAGATAGAGAATAGATATATACATACTACTAAAACAAATTAAAATTGGTTCTTTTTGCCGTGCTCTTTTTTCTGACTTTTTAATCGGACTCTCTTTTTTTCTAGGTTGTTTTTTATTTGGACTGGTAGTAAAGGCCGTGCTTTTTTTTCCCGACTTTTCGTTGTCTAGTTTTTCCCCTTTTGGAATTGAATCTACGTTTATTATTTTTCTTTTTTTTCGCCGCTTTCGTAGGGGAGACAGACTTTTTTTTGCTTTTTTTTTTTTGCAAAACAGACTCAAACATGGATGACAAATCGTGGAAATATCTTTAATTTTTATAACCTACTCAAACACGAATGACGAATGGCGGAAGCATCTTTAATTTTTATAATAGTAGAGATCGGACAATTATTTTTGGGAATAAGACATATTCGTTTTTTCCCCCGATTTTTCTTTTACCGCGTCAGATTTGGTTTTTCTTTTCTTTTTTTCACACGTTTTCTTTCGCTCGGTTTTTTTGGATCGGATAATTTTGGTTTTTTTTCGTCCGGTCTTTTTCCGCCCTTTTTTCGGATCGGACATATTTGCAGATTTGGTTTTTCTTTTCTTTTATTCGCACGTTTTTTTCGCCCGGTTTTTATGGACCAGACAATTTTGGTTTTTTTTCGCCTATTTTTTCTGGACGTTTTCTTTCACCGGTTTTTTTAGATCGGACAATTTTGGGTTTTTTTGCCGGTTTTTTCGCCTCTTTTTTCTGGATTGGGCAGATTTGGTTTTTCTTTTCTTTTCTTCCGCACGTTTTTTCACCTAGTTTTTTTGATCGGACAAATTTGGTTTTTTCGCCCGGTTTTTTTGACGGACGATGGAAGCACCTCTTATTTTTTTAAGTAGTAGAGATAGTGGATTCCAATAGACATAGTGATAGCCCTAGGGGTGAAAACGGTAACGATAATTACCGGCCGACCGGCGTTCGTTTTCGACTTTCTACCGGCCGAGCTATATGGAAATGGTAATCGACCGAAACAAAAATAAAAATGGTAAAAAATATGGAAATGAAAATGGAAATGGTTTTGCTGTTATACCGATCGTTTCCGTATTTACCGTATCATAGCCCCACCAAACGAAGGGAGAAAAAAAACAACACAATGGTCTGCGTCACATAACATTTTTTTACTTTCGGCATGATGAACATCTCTCTAGTTTCAAACAAATTTGTTGTTGTTTGCTTTGTGTTTACCGCTAAAGATATCTCAGGTGACATATCCTGGTGGTTGTCTTTCAGGAGCCCCAGAAAACCATTACCACCGGAAGCGTGTCAAGGCAAGAGCAGCTATTTTCAGGAGCACCATGCCATGCTTGAAAATAAGGGAAAATCTCCATACCACCACGCTCTGCACGCATGGCGCTTCGCCTTCTGTCCACCGATCTCAGATTCCCCACAGGCAGCCACCGTGATTCCACCAATTAAAAGAAAAAAACTACAAGGATGACTTAGAACACCACATCAGCATCATAAAAAAAGCCTTGAATTCCTACAACATGGCCAATGATAACTTGGACTACGAGTTTACAGGAGGTATGAGGATAAGCATCATCGACGAGTTTGGATCAACCTACCATCATTGCAACTTTCTTGTCTTCTCCCCTACCATGCGAACCATCCATCTCTTCACGGAGTTCGATGCCAACACCCAGGACGAACGTGGCGTGCACGTGTTCTGCCCCATCTTCCTTTGTCGCAAGGAGTTTGGCATTTGCTATGGTTGTGGACTTATGCACCCTAGAACTGATGATTACGTTGCAGGTCGTACCAACATTTGGACTCCCTACGGAGAAGAGGAGGAGGAGGATTTTGACTAAAGAATTTCTGTGTATTCATTCAGCAACATGTCAACTTATTTTATGTTTTGGAGTGTGTTTTGAACTGCTGTTTATCTTGAGATATCTTTTGTGACCTTCATGGAATGCCGTACCACCTTGTTTTCAGTAAAATTTCGTTTGTGATCCTCATGAAGATACAAAGTGCTATACCACCTTTTTTTTTATTTTTTAGTAATATTTTAATTTCTCTATACTGTGGATCGAGATACCTCCAGGAACTGACTCAAGACTAACATCCCATATATACCAAAGCATTATACCAAATAATAGCCCATATATCACAAAGGTTATATAGGCCCAATTAACATCCAATATTACACAGGCCCAATTAATATCCAATATAAAAATACAAACCCAGTTAACATACATGGAAACAGGTTCACCGACTACTCAGTGACCACAACAAGCTCATGTACATGGCACTGACCATAGCAAAACAAACAACGTGCATTAGTAAAAACCAGTCTTGCTACTGCAATGGCGCTCCTTGAAAAGATCAATTGCTGCAGGCGGCGGCACATCTTCATACTTAGCTTTGCTTCCGAAACTGCATGCAAACAATTTGTAAATTCAATGACATCGCTCTCCAAAAGTTTTTCCATATGCATATTTAAAATGCTAGGTACAACATACCATCACTGTAAAGTTTCCCTATCCATAATGCCATCCAATGTGTGAATGAAATATGGGTGCTAGGTGCATACCCAGTGAGTATTATCCACCATGTCTCAGAACCACCATAAGGGTTTATATAGTTAAAAAACAGTAGCCTAAATAAAAATATAGTGAGTGATGGTACATAAGTATTACCAACTCCTAAAAAATGCACGTCTACCTTCAGTGGCTCAAACATGAGACTTCCAAACTCAATCTAAAAAAAATAGCTATTATGCATATAACAGAATTTAGGTACACCTCATACTAGTAAATCAGATCAAAGGAACTTATGCGCAAAGTAGATCATGAGCAATATTTTAATTTATCAAATAACAGTAAAAAGGAACTGGCAAATTTTTCATGTATCTTACCACGACATGGCACTTCACAATGTAGCTCCAATAGGCCGTCCTTTGCTGGTTCTGAACATTCTCATGGTTTTAGTTCATTTTCGGACACATGTCCTACAGAAAAGCAAACTACAAGATAAGCAGCTTACTTATATCACGTAAACAAAAACGACAAGTCATACACAACATTTACAGATGGAGAGAAAAGACACGTTTTATGATTTTCACAATATTTACATATGAATAAAAAATATATTCTATGATTTTCACTTGAATACAAGACTAGATCAGTCAACAATATTAAATGACAAAAAGTCATCAACAACAAAATTGTATAACTCATCAATATCTATAACTTTTATTTTGATCATTTTGCTATATGACTTTGTTTCAATAATTTGAATTTGAATTTGAATTTCAAATTTTGACAACTTCAAAAAACATTTTCAAATATTAAATGATTTCAACTGAAAAATTCATCAACTACAAAGTTGTATAACTCATCAATATCTATAACTTTTATTTTGGACATTTTCTTCATCCGACGAAGTGATAGTAATGTTGATCATAAAAATTACATACCTCTCTTATAGTTTATAAACTATATAAGAGATATGTACATTTTGTGAACAATGTTACAAATCACTTTCTCTGTTGCTGAAAAGAAAAAAAAAAATCTTGCTGACATGGTCTTCTTTGCAACCTGGAATGGTCAGTTTAGGAACCTGGAATGTTGTCCTTGCACAACTAACGAAGTAATGATATGGTCTTGATTTGCAGGATAAGGAGACTAGGAGGGTGATTGGGAGGATCTACTACTTCTTTGTTGGATCTGCCACTTCTTGCAATCAGCAAACATACGTAAGAAAGTGCCTTTAGCAAATTGATCTCTTCAAACTCCTATCTAAACATGAACAATAAGTCCTCGATCGGCCTTGAGTGATTAGGGAATGTCATATATATAGCATTTGAATGAACTTAGCTTCAGTCTTAAGACTCTTGGTGCGATTACAAACTCTGAACTCAAGTGGAGAACACCTCTCTTTTTAGGTCAACATTCTGAATCTGCATTGGCAACATGCAGGCATCTTTGAAGGGTTTCTCAATGGGTCTATGAGGGCACCAATTACACACTAATAATTTAGCATTTAAGCTGTAGGAAGCCTGTCGATCTCCTGTCATGTATACAGAAATAGGAGCTTTGAAGTCTTGTGCATCTGAAGCCCAGAATACATGAAGCTCCTATGCTGAGTTTTTATCATCACTATGAATTTCTAAAGATGCCCTGTACACTTGAAAGTTCACTGCTGAATTTTCGAGCTTTTACTATTGTTCTAAAATTCTTGAGATGTACTATCAGGACTCAAAAGTTGAGTGTCTCACTCCATTGCATCTTGTTTTTAAGATACTTAAATAGAGGAGCAATTAGAACAATGAGATGCCATTCAATCGTTTGAACTATTTTGTCACGTGAGGAAACCTGGGGAGTAGTTTAATATTCTTTTTTGTTCACTATTTTCTCTCTATTTTTGATCTATCAAACAGATGCATAATAAGATGCTAGCCTCGTCATCAATGAAATGTGTGCACTGCATATTTCTGTTGGTTGTTTCACAAATTCATAATATTTGATCTATCATCTCATTTATTTTCAGAAATGGTTAAGATTGTTGGGGGCTCCACACCATCAAGTACAAAATCAGGTTAGCCATGTGCATGTTATTGACTCGAATGATGCACTTTTTGCATGCTAATTTCGCCCATGTCTTCCTTTCTTATGCCCTCTTGCAAATATATAATTTTTTTTGAGAAATTTAACGATTTACTATTAACAAACGCCCGATTATTTATTCTTTTTTAAAATGTGATCATTTTGCTCATAAAATGTGACCTATTTTAAGCAAGCCATGCTTTAGTTCCTTTTTAAAAAATTGCATTCAAATAACAGTGCATTAGCACAAAAATGTGCCGTTGTCTGCTGGGCTATTTTTCTCTCAAAGGTTTAGAAGTGACAAATTAAAAATCTTGGACTATTGAAGTCATATACTTGGAGGATGATCCCCTGGTCAACGACGTAGTAATATGCCCGTGTATCTTGTTCTTTAGATACAGATCTTAGCTAGGATTTGGGATGAAAGCAAAAAAAGATGCGTTCACATGTATAACGGTCACAGAGGACCAATTAGAACAATCAGATTTATATCCCTGGGATTCATGTTCTGGGCAGAAATTCTGTTTAAATCTGCAAATATTATTTTATACCATATTTTTAAATTAGATAGGATGTGGAACTTCCTGCTACTATTGGTGTTTCAGTAATCTGTATTGGCAATACAGTTGTTCTCATGGAATTAATATGTTTGCATCTATTCATATAATCTCTTGTCCAATAATTTTCTGTACCTTTCTGGGATATATTGTGATGTAACTATAGCAGTTGTTCACTGATTAATACACCTTCTAGGTCTGCACTTTGAATCTTTATGTGGACTTCCACCAACTGAACTTGGCCACTGACTAACTATGATTTTGAATGGTATTGATTGGATGTGTGATGGAATCGGTTCACATTTTTTGTCCTGTACAATATGAGTGTGATGTGTGAACTGTTAGATTTTTGTGATTTGATTACTGGCACAATGTGATGCAATCGGTTGAACTTCTTTGTCATGTGTGGAAACCCGGGGAGAATTTGTTTGTCTATATTTTATACACGCTTGTAAAATTTAATTGTGAATTGAGATTGTAAATATGGTGCTCTAGAAAAAAAAACTACAGTTAGCTATGGATTTAAATTAATACTCTCTTCGTTTCATATTAGAAGTCGTTTTGATTTTCTGCAGTCAAACTTCTTAAAAGTTTAATTAAGTTTATAGAAAAGTCTATGTACTTAGTACCTATTCAGCATTTATTTAATAAAAAAATATGGGACCCACCTATCATACTCTTCTTCCCCTCTTCCTCTCTCTCTCCTCTCTAGCTCTTCCTCTCTCTCTTGCAGCGCGCACGGCAAGGACGGGCGGTGGGCGTGGGCGGTCGGCGAGGATGGCGTAGGGACGGGCGGTCGGCGAGGACGACGGTGCGGACGTCGGCACTCAAGACGGCATGCACGGTGCGGCGGCAGGAAGGCGTTCGGTGCTGCGGTCCGGGAGGGAGCAGCGGCGGCAAGGGACACAGATGCAGCGACCACACGGGAAGCAGAGGCGGCAGCGGCGAACTCCGCCTCCGCCACTGGTCGGGATGGCGCTCGGGATGAGGGTGGTGGCTGGTGGCGGAGGCGGCTGGAGGCAGAGCTCGGGATGAGGCGAGGCTACGGCGGTGAGGTTGGCTCTGCAAGCACGATAGAGGAGGCGAGGCGACAGCGGAAGAGCGTGGCTGCGGAGGAAGTGAGGCGGCGGCGGCGACGGCGTCGACTTTTTCATTGACAACGGCCCGGTCGACCACTACGACGACCTCGCCAGTCGCATCCATGACCCCGATGGATCTCCGATGCCGTTGCCCTTGTCCAGGAGCATCTCCGATGGCTTCCCCGTGCTGTAGAACGCGAAGTAGAGCACGGACTGGATCCACGTCATCTCGGTGCAGTCGCTCGCCATCACGTTGAGCTCCAGGAAGGTGTCGGCCATGGTGGCGACGAGGCCGGCACACGGTACAGGGGCACGACGACGCGAAGGAAGGCGTCGTTGGGAAGGGACGACGCCACATGCTGCCACTTGATGAGGAGGTTGGTGGCGGACTGGTTTCTTGAGCGGTGGACGGTGAACACCGTGACGGTGGCCGGAATGGGGACAAGCCGGAGCTTCCAGGACAAGACGATCCCGAAGTTTCTGCCGCCTCCGCCTCGGATGGCCCAGAAGAGGTCCTCCTCCATGGTGGCCCTGTCGAGGAGCCTCCCCTTGGCGTCCACCATGGTGGCGTCGAGGACGTGGTCGGAGGCGAGGCTGTGTGCTTCCGCAGCATCAGGTCGAAGCCGCCGCCGTTGAGGTACCCGCCGATGCCGAACGTCGGGCCGACACTTCTGGGGAACCTAAGGCGGGAGGTTTTGTTGGTGATGGCATAGTACACCTCGCTGAGCATTTTGCTGGAGCCGACCCACGCTGTCTGGCCACGGACGTCGACCACCCGCCGCCGCCGCCGCTCGACCTGCGCCGTCGGCCCGAGAGAGAGGGGGCGAGAGAGAGACAAGTGATAGAGTATATATGAATTTATATAAATATTTCCCATTGCAACGCATGGGCACCTAACTAGTATTTATGGAACTCAGATCAATACCAACCCAAGAAAGTTTACTCATTGTTTTTTGAACATCTTCAAGTTGCCAGGCCTCTATCAATACTCTGGAAAAGCAAATGCACAATGAAGCTTAAAGTTTTTCTTTGGCTCATGCTAATGAATCGACTCAACACAAAGGAAATGTTACATAAAAAGCAATTCAACATACAAGGTGGCACAAACTGTTTGATGTGCAACTCCATGACCACAGAAAGCATGGCACATTTGTTTTTCTCCCGTCCATTTGCTCAACAATGCTGGCAACACATTGGTATTCACTGGAATTTGGCCTTGGAATTTATGAACATGATCACTTTAGCTCAGATCTCTTTTCAGCACACTTTCTTCTTTGAAGTTTTGGTAATCAGCTGCTGGCACATCTGGTACAGAAGGAATGACCTCATTTTTAACAATGTTGCTCTCAGTTTTGATAAATGGAAGACTCATTTTCTGAGGGAGTTTAACCTGCATATGGACAGAGCAAAAGAGATGGACAAACCTAGCTGGCAATCATGGCTAGACATTTTTAATTAATTTGCCTTTTGTAAATCCTTGTAACCTATAAATATTCTATATTATATTATTTAATATGCGCAGTAGAAGCCTCCCCTGCTGTTTTATGTAAAAAAAAGGATTCCGAATGCTTATATTACAGAACAAGTTTCTCCGAACCCAGAGTAGAGTGTACCGACAGATCTGGTACTCCTCTAGAATTCCTCCTAGAAAACTACACTCATCGAGGTAGAAGTCGGATAGAGGCCAACCTTCTGGGCACTACTCCACAGTTTCCCCTCACTCTCTACTTATTTTCTAATGTACAAAAGATACAATAGAGCCTCTTGTAATTCAGCTCAAAGTTGTGTGTGTTGAAGTGTGGATGGAGACCTCCTTTTAGGCTCCATATGATGGTTATGGCTATGGGAAATGTCCAAACTGCCCTCCAACCATCATTGAGAAGTCATCAAGAACGCACACGTGGAAGGCCAAGATCAGAGGCGCCGGTGGTGGTTCGGATGAACCCTGGGCCCCACCTCCTGCCCTCTCCTTTGGCCAGGAGGCTGACCGGTGGGCCCTGATGGCGATTATGACCCATTCCATGGCGGTGTCACCTGACTTGTGGGCCCTTCAATCCGTGTACTTGCGCCTGATTGGCCGAAAGTGTGTTTCCTCGCATGACGGGTGTATTTTATCCTTAAAATACCTGCATACACATATTTCACCAACACTAGTGGAAATGATTAGTAATAATCCCTACCACTAAGTTAGATACCATATTTTATTTCATTATATGCAAGCATTAACGGTCAGATATTTATGATGTAAGGACCGTCAACACGGAGCTCAACGGCGCGCGCGGGGAAGATGGCTACAGCAGGTTCCGGCCTTCGGGAAGGGGTGGACAAGGCAACCCTCAACCTCGCGAGGCCAACGGCGGTGACGGTGCGACGCAGCAGTGGCACTAGTGGTGGCCGGAGGCGGCGGTAGGGGAGAGCGGTGCGGTGGCGGTAGGGAGAGTGGGAGAGGACGGCGAAAGAAGGAAAAAGGTGGAGGAGAATGCGGGGTAGATTTATAGGGGCTCGGGAGGGGCGGACATGGCCGGGAGGTGGCCGGATTTCTCTCCGACATGGGAGAGGAGAGAGAGACAGGGGGACTGGGATTCGAAAACCGAATCCCGCGCTCTCCACGAGTGTGGCGCGGGCGGAGATGTGGTGTGGGGCGTGGAGCGCTCAACCATCCAACTTTTGTCTTGGTTCTGAGAAGCTGTTGTTGTAGAATCCACAAAATAATGAATGAGAAGCCAAAAGCTGGTTTGTCGGCTTCTCTAGATTACTTCTTCTCATAATCTAAAGCTCGCCAAAACAAACTCTAAGAATACGTACGGGTGAGAATCTAAACTATTTAGAATAGCTATAGAGATTCTAGAGTAGCCATAAGTTGTAGCTGTCAAAAGTTCTACAAACAAGACTAGAAGCTAGTTAAACTACAATAAATACAGCTCTTTTATAATATTGCTCTTAAAAAGAAATTCAATCTGGAATGGCTTAGATGAATTAAGATAATTTTGTTTCAATCTAGATAGCATAAGACAATATTAATGCTTTCTATAGCTCTCTCTAATTAAATAGTTAAATGATGTAATCCAACTTATTACTAGCATCTACATGAACCAACAAAACTGCAAATCTGTTTCTCAAGAAAAAAAAAGAACTATGTAAAGCATCTTGAGGTATTATTCTATCCGAAGGTTTAACTTTACCAGTAGACAGGCAGGTGTGTATGTGTGTGTGTATAATATACATGGAAGTTAGGGCATAAAACTAACAAATAAATTCACGCATTATTAATTAATGTTTTGTTGAAACATTTTGTTTGCCCCGAAGCACTAAAAAATTATCAACTGCATGACAATATATATAGTGAGTCACAGACAATTATTTTGGAGTTGTGAAAATGATGAATAAATATAACTAAATATTTTTATGGGGGCAACGTAGAATGATGTTTTGGAAGGGAATACTATATATAAATAAAAAATAATGGATCATTAAATAAAATTGTGTATGTTTTCAAAAACATCCATAGATTTAATAATATCAACATATTTTGTAGAACTACAACAAATATAGACCACTTGCCTATGCAGGTGCATGGGTCAATAACTAGATAGCGCGTGGGCATGATCAAAAGCAATGTACACATGTAAACTAGGAAATTGAATAAGATCTCCAGCCAACCCAGTGGAAATGCATATGGTCATATTTTCCGTATGTGAGAGTCTTCTATTTTGGATCAATGCGTGCAGAACTGCGAACGAATATATTCCGGACGAAACATGTTGCGCCGATGAAATGCCAAAAACCAGGGC